CGTAGAAAGGAAGAAATCGATACTCAGGATAACTCGAGTTCCTGTTAAAAGTACAGACCGGAGCTGAAGTAACGAACGAAAAGTTATTCTCTTTATTTCTTTCCTTTTTCTTCTTTTTTTCTTTCTTTCTTTCTTTCTCAAGTTACCTCTGGGTATAAACCACGAATTACCTTTGACCGGTACACCGGGTTCCTTTTCTTCAAGCTAAATAGACGTGAGAGTTTCACCGCGAAATTATTTTATAACTCTCGACGAACTTTCTTATCCCTCTTCCCCACCCACCCACCTCGCCACTTCTTTTCTCTTTCTTTCTCTTTCTCTTATTCTTCATTCTTCTCACGAGTTTTACAGTTATACCCTTCCAAACACTCTGTGTTTATTCTCAAACCAATCACTACTTCTCCTTTTTTGTTTCCTTTTCTTTTTCTATTTTTTCAAACTCACTCAATAATTTCAAGCTTCGTTCTTAAGATATAGGATATCATCTCTAACCCCCTTCCTCCTCCCTACCCGATCCTCCCCCAAATACACTCCGTTCGATTATTGATTTCGAGTATCGAAACTTTATCTGCTTACTCTTTATTTCTTTCTTTCTTAACTCTCTCTCTTTTTTTTTTTTCACCCAACTCCTCTCTTTCACTTCCGTTTTTATTTTTTCTTTCAAAGATATCCATGTTAACTCTGCACAAAGTCGTATAACTTTCTTTCATTTTTTAAAGTCATTTTCGCTTTTTCTATTTCTTTATCGCTACTTTAATTAACTTTTGTAATTTGTATTTTTTTTTTTTAATTTAATTATAAAATATATTATATATTACAGTTGTGTTATTTCACATGTGAAATTATAATCATTAAACAGTATCGAATAAGATCGAAAATAATAATCGGTCAACGAAAATATGATTCTTTTTTTATTGCTGGTTGCTGCTAATTGTAAAATCTCGTAAGGTCATTTCGTATCGAATGATTGACCGGGACAAAAAAAAATAAAAAAAAAATCAATGAGTAAATTCTCGATTAACCAACCGTTAGGCCAAGAAATTAGGATAACGAAACGTACCGGACGAATCCTATTGCGAGAGCTTATAAACGCGTGAAAATTACTCGTCAAGTACATTCGCGAATAATCTAACAGCCCGGGGTATTGGAGTAAAACAGCTGACGGAAATTGCACGTACTACGATGTGTGTGTAGTGTGTGAAAGAGAGAGAGAGAGAGAGAGGGAGAGAAAGAAAGAAGATCAAATATATTCACTAAAAAAATGACAAATAATATTTACAAGAAGAAAATATTGATTACGTGGTCGAACGAATAAAATAAATATAAACTAGTTAACAAAAAAAAATAAAGAACAATTTTGTGTTCGCCGTTTAGTTTCTTTCGAAATTTTTAAACGATAAAAGAACTACAGAGAGAGAGGGTTTATAACAGAAACATTCGAACCGAACTAGTGTAATAGTCTCGTTGAATCTCGTCGAATTTGTTGAAGGAAATAAATAAATTTCAACCGACAGCTATTATCGTTCTCCCACCCGCGTCCCCCTCCCCATCGATGATTTATAACGCTTGTCCTACTTTTTTCTTTTTTCTTTTTTTAAACGTCCGTATATAAATTCCTAAACAAATGTATGTGGAACAAAAAAAGAAATAAAAAAATATCAAAATCAAGAAAAAAAATTGGTAACAACAATAACAATTTTATTTTCATTTTTCATTTTTTTTTTTTTACTTTTTAACATTTTGTCGTACAACCGATTCGAGCAGGGGAAAGAAAAAGAAAGGGAGAGAAGAAAAAGAAAAAAAAAGGAAAAAAAATCCAAGAAAAGACAGTATATAATTCGGGGAAATTTATTCCGATCTTTATTTTTTTTTTTGTTCAACAAGGTACAACTCATTTTACTCGCGAAACTTAATAACCGTCGGGCCCCGGTGATCGTTAGTATTTCAACCGAGAGAAGTCGAACGCATCTCGTCGAGAGTTTAACGAGGAAACTAATGACGAGACTAACGTTATACCATCCCTAACCCCTCTTCCTCCCCCTAACCCCTCTCCCACTCCCACTCTCTCTTATTCACTCGTATTTTCCTTGGTCGTCCCGCGGGATGAATCGAGAGGGAAGTTGAATAGGAATTAGAGCACGTAATTGCGATACAAGCCGCTTTTCCCCTCCCCCTCTCGTTCTTTCTTTTCCTCTCAATCCTATCCCCCCTGTCCCGCCACCCACACCTCTTTTTTCTCTTACGAAAATCCGTACCAACACCCACCCTCCTCCCTTCCTCATTTATTTATTCTTTTTTGTTCTTATTCTTATTCTAAAAGTACAAATTCTTATGCGTACTAAAAAAAAAAATAGAACGTAATATTGAGATTCTAAAAATTAAATTCTTACTTAATTAAAATTATTCGTAGATTACAATAACGGATATCGTTGAATAATCTAGATATATCAATTAAAAATTTAACAGAATATAATCTGGTAAAAAATGATGTTCAATGAGTATATATAACCGACAGGGGAGAGGGAGAGATGTAAAATAACGTAACAAGAACTTGTTTGTTCGGCAAATATTCTCTGTCCCCGTTCATCCGCCTCACTCTCTCGTTCTTTTTACCAGGAACATTAATAATCACCAGGACACGAAGTTTATTCCTTTGATCGTGCGAACGCAAAACAACCAAACGAAGATATAATAATCGGTGTAACGCGGTACCGTTGCATTCCGTTTTTCTTCTTATCGTATTTCACTACAAACCCCCCTTCTTCTTGCCTGCCTTCCCACATCCTCCTCCACCCGTCACCCCGCCACCGCTTCTACCACACCACCGAACTCGAAGTTTACTTCGAAATATCCTAGAAGATGGATCCTTTCTCTTACGAAAGAAAACGCGTAAAATGATAAACAGTTGTGAAAGAGAAGCGTCGAGGAGAGACTGGTGGCAATAATTTTCTTCTATCCTTTGTATATCCTTTTTCTTATACTCGAAAATACATACATACGTACATAGATAGTTAGATAGATAGATAGATAAATAGGATACTGGGGAAGATAAAAAAGCTGGTAAACAAAGGTATAGAAAAAGCATCTTCCTTCCACCCCCACCTATCATCTCTGCGTAACTATTCTCATTTTCTTCCTTATCGTATACGATATTTTTCTTTTATTCTCTTTTTTGTTTTTTATTTTTTTTATTTATTTTCCAGGTGGTAAGAAATATATGAAAAAGAGAAAGGGTTCTTATGTGATGATAAAAAAAGAAAAAAAGGTGGTGGAAAACGGTCTATTACTACTACTACTATTACTACTACTATTACTACTACTATTTACTAGTACAAGCACGCGAAAATTTTTCTCGAAAGAATTCGAAAAATCGCCGTCATGCCACGCTCGTGACTTATGATAAGTGCCTTGCCACTGCCCGAGATATTCCAACCGAGAGGATCATCAATTTTAACGTTCATCCCCCCCCCCTCGTACGTGGTAAAAGAAAAAGAAAATAAGAAAGAAAAAAAAAAAAAAAAAGAAAAGTTTTTAACAAAAAAGAAATAAAAAGGTAGCATAAAATAAAACGAAAAATAATTGACGTGTCAATTAATCTCAATTTTAAGTAGAGAATCTTCCCCCAAAAAAAAAAAGAAAAAAGGGCCTCTTTTTTAATTCTCGTAGTCAGTCGTTGAGAACAGCAAAGTAGACACACGTATTAAAATCCCGTCCTCCTTCTTAAAGAGAGTATATTTTCAGTCTGCTTTCGGGAACGTGTGACAAAGCGAAGGGATGCTTGCTGTACGTCAGCTAATCCGGTCGTGTGTGTCGTATGCTCGAGAAGTAGTCTCCTTTTAGAACTCGCCGACACTTAAAACACCATCCTAGTGTAGAACTATATATATATATGGCATAAATGTATGAAGGACGTGTAACTCTCGTTCGCGCCCGGTACGACGATCAAAGTGAGCAACGAAGCGCCGAAAACGAAGCAAACAGGCAAGCAAGCAAGCAAGCAAGCAAAAGCAGGAAGGAGGGTAGGTAGGTAGGTAGGTAGGTGGTAGGTAGGTGGTAGGCAGGGCAACGAGCTACACTCGTTTTGCATGACCGCCGCAAAATTTCGAGATCGACAACCACGGATACACCTTTCTTCTTCTTCTTCTTCTTTTTCTTTTTCTATTCTCACCCTTATGACCTCATATTCGTCTAATAAACAGCTGTCTCATCAAAATAACTCATTCATTCGATTCTATTAAAATTGCATTAACCTATTATATTTTAACAAATATATATTCAATATCTTTGTTAACATTTGAATGATACGAATCAAATTGAAAAATTACATTTTTCTTATTTATAAGGCAAATTTATACAAATGAAATATTAATACTGATAATAAAACAAGTCAAAACATTATACACCCTTGTTCTTCTTATTATTATTATTCTTCTTCTTATATTCTTCTTCTTCTTTTCTTCCTTCTATCCACCCTCATATTCGTCTAATAACAGCTGGTCAAAATAACTCCTTCATTCGATTCCATTAAAATGTCATCTATTATCTTTTAACAAATATATTCACAACGTCTTTTTAATATATCTTTGATAACATTTAAAAGATTCGAATAAAATAGAAACAATTGTATAAATATTAATAATGATAAAAAAAGGGGTTAAAAAATCACACAATATAAAAATTAAATATCCTTACTTCGTCAAACCTATTTCAAACACTACATAATACTACTTTAAATATTATCTCTATACAAATAAATTACGTATACAGTATCCAGATAAATTCCCCTCTCCGAAATAGAATTGTTGTATGATACAAAACCCAAAATATATATCACATATCCAATTTTGCGAATGAAAAAAAATATTCTCAAGACTGACGGTTGGTTACATACACATATTAAAAACTAACGCGTGAAGATAAAAAGAAATGTTAAGAGAAAAAAATGGAAGAAACAAAAAATTGGGAAGGAGGGGGAGGAAGGAAGCTGGTGAAGTACTTACCGGACTCCGAGACGGATGGACTGCCAGCAAACCTGTCGGAGTTCCTTGAGCTATCAGCCGAACTGGTGGAAAAGGCTGTACCGAGTGAACACTCGGAAATACTGCGCCGTTTCGATAAATGTGCAGCAGCAGCAGCGGCAGCTGCAGCCGCGGCCGCAGCGGAAGAGGATGCATTTGGTGCCGAGGAGCTTAAAGGTGATGAAGATGAACTCAGCCCGCGCCGTTCGTGGAGTTCGTGATGGAGACCTTGATGGAGACCCTGATGAAGCCCGTGCAACCCCGTTTGACTCGTCAGCTGCTCGAATCGTCGCCTGAGGAACCGTTGCTCCCGCGAAAGTTGTTCCTTGTGCACCATATGTTTCCGTTCACGTTCCTCCAGGCTCTGACAAAAGTTAACAAACCCTCTTAAGTTAGTTTAGTTTCCATATATCTCCTCTTACTCCTCATCCCATCCCCCAACCCCTTATATAATCTTATTTACGATGTCTAACGAATATACATATATAACTGTATCAATATTATATATCAATTAAATATATATGTTAGGGTAGAAAAGAAATTTTAACAAAAACAATCGATTATGCTGTTTATAATATATTTTGTAAAGCATTAAAAGCACGAACTTTTGGTTCACCCTAATATATTATACTATAAATAGATTAATATCAATTAGAATAAGACCTTAAATCCAAATTATTATTAATTTATTAATTAATAACTTAATTGCCAACCTAATACTTCTGTTCTATTTTTCTTTTTGCTTTTTTTTTATCATCTCATTCGAGTAGAGAGAACAAAAATATTCTTCGTAGAAAAAATTATTCCGACCTGAGAAAAGAGATATCTATTTAAACTAAACTAAAATAAAATAAAGTAATGAAAAAAATGTGTTAAACGAAGATTCTTTTAACGAAAATAAATTTGGTAAAAGATAGTAGGAGTGATGGTAGAGAACTAACAGGAGTAGTGGATGGCAGGTGGGGGGAGAAGGGGGTGGAAGGGATAAAAAGGAGAAAGAGTGAAAGACCGAATCACCAAATCGCAGATAAGAAGAACGAGTGGTAGAAGATAGTGTACATACACACGTATATATATATATGCACGCACGTATATGTGGATGTGTGTGTAAATCGTCGTGGAAGAGTTCCTCTCTCTGGCTTGGTACTTTTCATTCTGCTCGATATGGGTTTACAGTGTAGATAAGGGTAGGTTAAAGCGAGCAAGCCGACGACCTGAGTCTCCTCGTAAACTCTCTCTCGGTTCAACCTTAAAAGTGGGACTCGAGTTTGCTTCCGCCATCTACTTCGTGCCAGGAAAACCCGATCGTGGGTAGGACACGGACGAGCGACCAGGAACCATCGTGGAAATGTTCTTCTTCTTCCACTTCTTCGATTCTCTACAAGCCACCCCACCCCACCCCGACCTTAACCTCATCCCCTTTTCTTTTCCATCAACTTCTATCAAAAGTTATATACACATATATATATATATATATGTATGCGTGTATGTAATACGTATCTTCGATAATGACGCTTTTGACAATCCACCATGGATTTACGAGAAATCGATGTGTGTGCCTGATTTGTTCGAAGATTTTTTTTAGACGTAAGGATTTATTTTTAATTTGATACGCGTGTGCTTGCTCGTTAGATTTTCTTTAAAAACATAGTTTTTTATTCGTATATTAATATATATATATATATATATATATATATTAGTTGCATGCTATGGATTTTGGTTTTATATAATAAACGCGTGCTTTTATCGTGGTTTTATCGTGTGTGTGTGTGTTTCTCTAAAAAACAAACAAAAGATCCTTTTGTGAGTTATACATACAATGAAAGTAATAATAATAATAATAATAATAATAATAATAATAATAATAATAGTAATAATGTATAACGAAGCATTATTTGTTATCAAAATTAAATGAAATCTTTAGCATATTTTCTTTCAAATACATTTTTTCTCTACCTCTAAAGAAATATATCTTTTTCTATATAAAGTGTATAATGCATTTTAATAAATACGACTGAATAAAGTACGGTTTTCCTTCTAGAAAATGTAACCCACTCCCTACCCCTATTATTTTATTAAATTATTATTTCCATCATAGAGAAATAACAATGATTATTATTTTATTATTGCATACATTTGAAGAGGTTACGAAATGCCAAGCTGGGTACTTAGTAAGCTTACAAATAAGCTTACTGCCTTCTTGAATAGCTCATAAATGGTTGTAATACTGCATTTAAGAAATGCAAGCACCGACAAGAATCTCATTTTTTTCCTACGTCTTCCTATTATCATTAAGGGAATGATAATATTCATTTTACGAAGAAAATATTATTGTTTGAAAATATAAATACAAAAGATAGAAAATAATTGTCTAGTAAAAAAATCTCTTCTCATTGATAATATGTTTCTTTTATCGATTAAGATTTTTCTTTCTGGTACAATACAATTAGGCACAAATTGTTTATCACAAAAATTTGGCGACCCTTGTCTTCATATTTCGCTCGTGCTAATCCAACGACGAGAAACTCAGCCACCAACCAACCAACTAACCAAACAACCAACTAACCAACTAACCAATCAACAAACAAACCAACCAATCAACCAACCAACAACTAACCAACTGGGCTGAGGAAGAAAAGAATACCGAAGAATATAATAGGTGCGCGCGCGTGCACGCGTGCATGCGTGCGTGCTAGCTAGGACACGTGTGTCCCTTTATCCCTTCTTTCTTTCTTTTTTTTTCTTTTCTTTTCTTTCTCTAACTCTCACTCTGTTTTGCACGAATTTCTTAAAAAAAGACAAAAAAAGTAATAAAAAATGGAGAAAAGGGAGGAAAGGGAAAGAAAGAGAGAGATAGAAAATGCACGAAGTAACCTATAAACGTGTGAATCTCGCGAAAAGCAACGAGTCGTGCGTGTACGCGAGCATCGCATTAGGTAATGAACATTCTACACCCCTTTTCTTTTTCTTTCTTTCTTTCTTTCTTTTTTTACTATGGAGAAAATAACAACTTTCTTTCATTCTTTTTCTCTTTTCCTCCCTCTCTTTTTTTTTCTTTTTATTTCTCTCTTGCTTTTTACTTTGTCGGTTGAACTTAAAAGAGACGAAACGAGAGAAAGAGTGTGTGTGTATGTGTGTGTAGAGAAAGAGGATCGACATTATTTTTTTCGAAAGCACAAGATACGACGATCATACACCTCACCACTCTCCCTTTTTCGTATTTTCTCATTCCCTCTTTTATCTCTAATGAATTTTTTTCCCCTTTTTTGTTATTTTTCTAAAAACAAAAAGAAACGCGTACATATTGCATCGTATACGTACGTGTCGCGTACATGGTGTAGTAGTAAAGCATATAGTAGAAAACATTATTACATTGTAAAGAATTTTTCTTGTATTAATAAAAAAAAAAGAATAAAAAAGAAAGCAAAAGCACAGAAAAACTAACAACGTCTGGAATTTCCAACTTACGATCTTCCCCCACGAAAGAAGGGTTGGAAGAAGGGCAGGCAAGGGGAGGATGCCGATAATGAGAACAGAGAAAAAGAAAAAATTGAAAAAAACTGTGAATGAGACTAAATACATCGGAGAGGAAGAAGTGGAGTGGGGGAGGAGAACGGTTCTGTTCCATTTTTTTTCTTTCACAGATCGAGTTGACGATCTGAATTAAAGAAGAAAGAATAAAAAAAAAAACAAAAAAATTAATAGATACATTCGAAGATTACGAATCTAGTATATCACCGCGCAGTTGATTATTTTGATTATTTACTAAATGATTAACGCATGAAAAAATTGGACGCATATATGCGTCCGTATCATTGAAAAGTGTTAAATAATAAATGGAATTAATTCGACTGAAACTAATATAAAACGTAGAAAAAGAAAGAAAGAAAGAAAGAGAGAGAGAGGAAGAGGGAGGGGAAGAAAAATAAAAAAAATAAAAGCTAGACAAAAATGAAGGGAAAGATACGGAAAAAGGGGGATGTAGAGGTGTCGAGACAAACAGAGAGTGCCGACGCATAATGGACGCGTAGTTAGTAAATTACAGAGCGTCGGAACAATGGCGTACGCGCGTAAGCCGCGTGTGTACACGCTTTCTCTTCTCTTCTCTTCTCTTCTCTTCTCTCCTCTCCTCTCCTCTCCTTTGCTCTCCTCGCCACTCTTCTCTTCAACTAACCACTTCCTATCCACACACGAGGCTGGTTTACAGAAGTAGTACGTGCAGTTGCGCGTATCCATCGTTTGGTTGTTCGTGCACGCTTTGCGTGGGAGTTTCTAACACATATATATATATACCACACTTTATGTATCATACATATATATATAACATACGTACATATGTATATGCATTTATCGTATACTTGTATATCTGTCATCTGTATACGTGTGAATGCTTCTAAGGGTTGCACGCATGTATATGCGTACAAAATGTTGCTGCTCTGTTACCTTCGTGTATCTTTATCCCTATCTCTATCTATCTATCTATTTATTTATCTATCTATCTATCTCTTTCTCATTCCCAACTCGTTCCGCAGTTTTCTCTTCTACACGGTGCATGACATCATAACCATAACCATGGAAAATACGATTACTCTCGACCTTCCCCTATTAGACTCTCTTCCTCCCCTCCCCCCAACTACGAAATTTAAATTATTACGCTCGCCGATAACTCATAATACTTAAATGAATTTTATTTTCGATAAAATTTAATAATAATATGTATCAACCGAAATTAGATCGTTTTTTACATTTGACCGTATCTAAATAATAATAATAATAATATGTAAAATATAAGAGAAAAACAAAAAAGAACTGTAAGATATGCAAAGAAAAAAAAATCTATTCGAATTAAATTATGATTCGATTTAATATACAAATTTTATTACTGCAATTGTGTGTGCACCATACAATTAGATAAATGAGCACACAAAGAAAAAGAAATATAATATAAGATGATACTTTTATTTTCGTCATAGTCTCGTCGTTTGACGTTTACAATTTGATTCGATTCCTCGAAATTCGTTTCCTTTTTACAGTCCAAGATGTCAAAAAGAGAGAAATAAAGAGAAAGAGAAAACTTTGAAACGAATGAGAGAGGACCATGCTCGACCGCAATTCTTTTCACACTCGGTAGACATCTTTTCCGCCATCTTTCTTGCTAATTATACCGACTCGCCTTTCTGCCGGGCGTTCTTCTCAAACCCAACCCAACCCAACCCCCTTTCCAACCATTCCACCACCCCCTTTTTTTCTACTGACACAACCGCGATGCTTCTTTTTTTCTTCTTACTTTTTTTTTTCTTTCTTCTTTATCCTTCCCTTACACTTTTTCTCTTCTTTCTTTCTTTCTTCCTTCCTTCCTTCTCTCTCTTCCTCTTTTCTCTTCTTACAAACCGCGACTTCGCAGAAGTCTCCATGAAATATTCAAACGACCACCTCCATCTAAACCCCCCTCCTCCTCCTCCTCCACCAACTCCACCACCCGCCACCACCAACAGTCTTTATCCTCTCGTGGTGAAGTTTTACCGAGGCACGACTTTGTATCTATGGATTTCAAGCGTGACCACCCGGAACTGTTTCTGTAATCGTCATAAACCAGAGAAAAAGAACTGAGAAGAAACTTAGCTCTAATATTTTCTATTTTTCTTTTTTCTATTTTTTATTTTTATCACCGTTATTTCATTTTATTTTGTTGCTTTACGAGACAGAGGATCGCGATTAAATGGACCGAGGAGACACGTGACACGAATTAACACCCATCCCCCCTAAATTCAATTAATGAATGTGCGAACGTATAGGAAAATTTTTAAACAAGACTTCAAATTACATATCCGCCTGTCAATATTTTATGTTAAGTTTAACAATATATTAATATAATTAACGTTCAAAATATATTACTCTTATTTTTCATAATTGAAATTAAATGATTTTTACAATTAATTAATTATGAAAATGGTGTGAGTTCATTTACTGTTCGTAAATATATATTATTTTAGCTTGTTTTTTTGTTTAAATGTACTTAAAAATAAATTTATATTTTTCAATTGACTAATAATATGCTAAACTTTAATTGTTTCTAAACAATAAAAAATAGACTTACAGCATTTTCAAAATAAACGATTCATATATTAATTGTAATTACTCACTTTGATAAAACGTTTGGCCTTCGTCAAGAGGCCTAACGTAGTGTGCCTCGAAGTTTCTGGACCCAACGGTACTAACATCTTCAGCTTTTCGAGACAATTTCTTAGATGGGCCCTCCTGTAACACAAAATTAAATCCCCGATTATAAATATCATCGAAATTTTCTTGGTTTCTTCTACTTAACAATATTTAATAGAATTAGTGAATTTATTAATAACGAAATTCATATCGATGATCTAAAACTTATATTTATTTCATTTTAAAAATAAAATAATTGTAAAAAAAAAAAAAAAAAAAAAAAAAACAATTATTTCTTTATGTATATGATTAATAAAAAAATAATTTTGTTTAGAAATTTGTCTTCTTTCCTCGAAAAAAGGAGACACGTATTATAATACACATAATGTATGTTACGTATATACGAGAANTCTTCTACTTAACAATATTTAATAGAATTAGTGAATTTATTAATAACGAAATTCATATCGATGATCTAAAACTTATATTTATTTCATTTTAAAAAAAAAAAAATTGTAAAAAAAAAAAAAAAAAAAAAAAAAACAATATAGAAGAAAATAGAAGAATGGAAAAAAAAATAATTTTGTTTAGAAATTTGTCTTCTTTCCTCGAAAAAAGGAGACACGTATTATAATACACATAATGTATGTTACGTATATACGAGAAAAAAGGTTCGTGTAAAGCATATATCGAAACTAACCGAAGCATTTTTCCTTCTTTCTGTGCCAGCATTGCCCCCTTCCCATCCCTATCCATCCCCATCCCCCCCACCCCTTCTTCCGTCGGCGTTTTGTCGACTCGACGGAAATTTATCGTAGACCAAAACGTAGATATAAAACGTCGTCCATTTATAACCGATATCGAAGCCAGGATTCACTCTGAAAGAGAGAGAGAGAGAGAGAGAGAAAAAGAGAGAAAGAGAGAAGAAAGGAAAGGAAGGTGCAGAATTATTCCGGACACACCGTTTGCGTGAATATTTCTTTTCCTATTCCGAATATATTTATTGTATTCAAAAGGATTCTCATTCGACTAATGGTCGAAGCTCTTCGCACGATAATAGATACACGAGTGGATCTTTTTTACGAGAAACTCTTGGAAAGAAAAAGAAACTAAAAAAGATACAAAAGAGAGAGAGAGAGAGAGAGAGAGAGAGAGAGAGAGAGAGAGAGAGAGATGAGGATAAGAAGAAAAAAATAATATTCGAATGTTTTGATCGAAATAATCGATAAATCTCTCTGTTACGAACATTAAATTCAAATTATATATTCTCGAATAAACAAACAAGATATTTCTGTGATATTGAAAAGGGAATAAATTATCTTGAAACCAAGCTATGTGTATATTTCAAAAGAATATACCTTAATTTTTATTTTACAAAAGAAATATATATATATATAATATAAAATATATCATTTTATTCCATTTAATTACTGATACCAAATATCCGCGATACTAGAAAAGAAATAAATTATCTTCAAAGAAAATTATATGTATACTTCAAAGATAACGATTTAATTTTAATTTACAAAAATATATATATATATCAGTTATTTCCCTTTAATTAATGATACCACAGATTTCTTTGATACTAGAAGAAAAATAAATTATCTTCAAACATAAAAATATACTTCAAATAAATCACGTTAATTTAAATTTATAAAAGATATATATAGAATTTTCCATTTAATTACTAACGAAAATAATACGAGAGAACTCGAAGATATTTTATAAAAGTTACAATTTTTAATGCTTTTGAGATAAATAGCGTATATTTGAGAATTCTAACATAAACCTTGATGTATCTTAAAAACACACGCATACACATAAATACACATATATAAACAAGAAATAGGAATACATACATAATTCCCGTACGTTTGCCATATTCCGGCTGCATTTATCGCGAGACCGTGAAGGATAACGAAAAAGAGAAAAAAATAAACAGATAGATAGATAGATAGATAGATAATAGTGGTGGTGGATAAAAGGACGATTCGTTCGACTAATGGTCCGTGATCGCCGCGATAATCCGGATCTTATCGCTTTTTCCGCAACTTTTTTACCGCCTTCCGTTCTCCTTTTTTTTTCATCCCCTATGAAAAAGAAAAAAAGGAAAAAAGAGAGAGAAAGAGATAACGTAAGGGTAATAACATCTCTCTCTCTCTCTCTTTCTCGAACAACAACCTTTTTCAACCATAAGTTTCACGAAGTCACGTGAATTCTTCGCATAGAGAAGGAAGAAGCACGCGCGCACACACACACTCTCTCTCTCATAGAAATATACATACAAATGTATAATATATATAAAAGAGGTTTGGGATTTTATCTGGTATTCCTATCTCCATCCTCCCATTCCCAGAGTTCCTTGCATCAGAAGCTGTTCGTTCGTTCGTTCCTTTTCGTAGAACACTAATACACACACACATACATACATACACTATTACTACTACTATTAAAAGCAGGTTCGCGATAGTGGGTAACCTTCTGGTCCATTCATCGCGAGTACGTGATGCGAAAAGCAGATGGCGAGAAAGTTTCTCGTAATTCGAAGCCAGGTCGCGAATTATTATGAAATTAAATGGCGAGCATTGAACTATACCTTCCCCCCTTTCACCCGCCGTATAATACAACAAACGCCGCCACTTTTCTCCTCCAACCCACCCACCACCTAAACAACTCAAACGACCTTCTTTCTAAATTTCACTTTTTATTTTTCTTATTTTTCATTAAACCAATCGCGATGCATTATTATCTTGCATAATAATCAATACTAAATCGAAAATTATTATCCGCAAGACGATGAAACTTATTTCATAATCGATTAACTATAATTAAATGTATTAAATATTATATATTCATAATAATTCATCAAATATTTCCTAAATGAAATTGGAATATTCGTAAAACATTTTCCTTCTCTCTGTCTCTCTCTCTCTCTCTTTCTCTCTTTCTATTCCATTATGAGTCCTTTTTCCAGCTGATGCAATTCTTACGAACTCGACGGGCTTCCGCAACATTTTTGTCGTTAATAGAACCTCGAAGAGACGAAATGTGGAAGAGAGATAGAGCTAGTGGATACAGAGAGATGGGATAGTGAGCAGGGGGTTGGGAGGAGGGATTGGGGGTAGTTGTGCCCTTCAATCAATATTACCGTGTGACACCGACATTATGAAATTCCTGTCCTATCTCTTCACCGTACCCGGAGAGAATCTGATGAATAAATACTTCACGTGAAATTCCCGAGTCTACGATGTTCTTTCGTGTTAAAAGACACATAGAGAAAGATAGAAATATAATATACACACAAACGCACACCAATATCTATAAAGATAGAAAGAGAGAGTAATGACAATAATGAATTATTGTTTTTCATTATCATCTTTGGTGATTACCAGTAAAAAGAAAAGAAAAATCTCGTTGATTCAAACACAATCATGAGACACACGTACGTACATACTATACACAACACATATATATATCTCCCATAAAACCGGTTTCGATGAATACACTATCGAATCGTAGAACAAGTAGGGTGATTTCGTTTTCCTAAGAAGAACTTCTAAAGTACTGTGGAAAATGTCAAAGTTAATGAACAAAATCTTTCCCACGGAAGTACTATGTATTTCTGGAATGTCAATAGGCGATTTATCTGTCATTGGTCAACACACATAGACACACACCTAATTAACTATCTATTTGCTAAAAAAAATATATAAAAATTGGGAAACTGATAATTAGTAATACACCGAAAGCAACATGTTCAGAAAATTCTGAAAATCATGCTTTTGTATCCATAAGTTTGTCAATCTTCCTAGTCTATCTTTTAAACCATCTATCTATTTATCTATCCATCTATCTATCTATTTGTCCTGAGGTTGAACGAACCGGAGAACGACCGGTTAGTTCAAGGAGAGAATGCCACGAGGAAAAATTCATGCTCCTTATTGGATAATGGAAAAAGAGTTCTAAAACATAAACCGTGCACGTCGTAACGAGCTTATTGCGTTTAATGGCTTATAGACGACGAAGCGTTAGAACCAATCGCGTGTAATAAGAAGAAAGAATAACGAACAAAATATACACCTTGATGTTATGCAAAATGAAAAAAAAAAAAAAAAAAAAAGAGAGAGAAAGAAAGAGAACGAGAACGAGATGCTCGAAAAATGCTAAAGATAACACAAAAGTGTTATTTCACTCTTCCACCACCCCATCCTCCTACAGCCCCCCCCTCCACTTTTCTTTATAACTCTTTCTTTCTCTTTTTTTCTTCTTTTTTTTTTCTTCTGTTCATATACACCTCTTCTTCTTCTTCTTCGCGTATAGGAAAAAGAAATAATAAGTGCGACCGAGAATGAGAGATAAAGTTCGTGACACGTATATATATATATATATGTGTGTGTATGTAGTGGTGCTCTTTTATACGGCGTTTCTCTTTGATTTCCGTTCAGCATCCAAGATCAAAGCGAAGAGCAATTTCTGCGTACGTTGGAATTCCAAGCGTTGAAAGCACGCGAGAGAAGAACGCTTCTCTCTACGATCCCTTCTCTCACATAAACGTACACGTATATACAACAGCAGAGCAGAGCAGACATACATACACACATGTGCGCGCGATATCTTGTTATCATCATGTTCAGGAAGGAGAAAATGATCGAGAAATATCGATAAAAAAAAAAAAAAAATTACAAAAGAAACCCAAAAAAAAAAGTATAATATCTTATCGATTAAATCAATGACCAAAAAAAAGAAATAATGACCGATAAATCGAGTGTGTCCATGCTCTTTCTCTTAACACTATCCTCTCTCTCTCTTAGTCTACTTCTCTTCCTTCTAATTTTTTAAATCACGATTAAACAGAATATCAAATGAAAAAAGAAACAACAAGCTTAAAAGAAATTTACGTTCTTGTAGACGGATACCAAAAAAAAAAATAAGATTATATAATATATAATAAAAATATATAACAAATATACATATATAAAATAATAAAAAAAAAAAACATTATATTATTTTTTGTTTCTTCTTTAATAAAATCGAGAAAAAGATTAAGATTGGAGACGAGAAGAATGATACGAGCGAGTTACATACATACATGTGCA